CTTAGGGGCTTTTTCCGGTTTTCTTCCATCCACAAAACAACACGCTAAATTTCACACGGGCTTTTACCCAAACTCAGATTCTTTTAACAAAATTACATATCGACTGGTTTTATTTATCACGTTTCATTTCTTGCATCTTGATTCACACTTACGTATAATTGTGCGCAGAACAATCTAACAGGCGCAATAGCTCGAGCTTACAGTAATCAAGCCACGAAATGTAATCATACACTGAGGGATAAAGCTGTAACACTTACTTCGGGTCTGTTCCTTCATCGTCGTCATCATCAGGATTACATATGGAGCGAGCGTTTCACAACTTTACACAGTTATCTACTCTACCTGGAAGAAAAAAATAAATATGTGCAACTGCTTTCCTGCTGAGAAGCAAAGATGAAAACAGCGACGTGCTTTTAACTAGTAATTCAAAATTCACGCATGTATTGCGGACCTACACTCTTACACTCCCTCATTCACTCATAGCCTAAGGCAATATGGGTAAAATACTTACTGCGCACTACCCATAAGAAACATGAAAACGGCTATAAATTGGATAATCCAAAGAAGTCAATACTTAACTTGCAAAGATGACGGGAGGCTTCACTAGTTTTATTCTTTTTTCCTTTGACTTCTTTCGAAGCACAAACAAAACAAAACTGAGGCCAGCAAATTCCCATCTCTACTAAACATCAAAGAGTACACTGTCTCTGAGTGTCCTTTTAGCTCTGTCAATAATGTCCCCTCTGCTAGATCCCAAACTAGAATACGCTTATCAACGCCTAAACGATAAATGGAACAAAGAGCAAAAAGTTAGGCAATTTGTCACCCACTTCTGTATGGCGCAAACTGCCTTGTATACGTCAGAAGGGATCCCTTGTGGAAAGTGCAAAGGAAACAGATCAAGAAGACTTAAAATTAAAAACTTACCGAAATCTCATAAAGAGAAAAAACTTCTAGACGTGTCTTATGATAACCTGCGAATGAAAAGATGCCACAAGAACACGGTCAGCGGTCAAACGTCTGCGCATGTGTGAACATTGTAATGACTAGGTGAGGCCGGCAAGATCAAGTTGTCTGACACGCGTTACAAACAATCACACAAGCCAGCAAGCTACAGTGTTTTAGAAGCGTGTAAGTCTTGTAGTGAAGCTCGAAAAGGAATGGTAGCTCAACAGGATAACAGAATAGTAACTCAATAGGATACCCGTCTCATAGGGATACCCGTCTCGAATTTTCCTTTCCCTAATTTTGTTTCATTCTACAGATTTCTATGAACGATTTAATTCAATTTTCTTTCGCTTAATTTGAAGGACAGCAGTTGTTGCTTATGTTTAGGGGGGAATTGGCGAATTAGAATCCAAGTCAGTTGAAGCAATTGAGCGTCAAATTATTTCACAAAATGAAAGGGAAGAAAAAACGTTTTAAGTGGGATTACAGTGGAACTTGTTTTCTTGTACATCTCTGTATCAATTATGACTTAAGGGGCACTCTTATTTGGAGGTCACTCTTTCTAGTTTCATAGGTGTCCCCTCAAGGCAGGTTCCACGACGCAAACTCAGCATGTTACCTTCATGGAAGGGGCAGATCAATTCACGGGGCTCTATTTCTAGTCTCCAAGGCGTCCCCTGTAGGAACGTTTCACTGTATTTAGATAAAACCGCCTCGTGGATAAATCAATGGATGTATGTCTACAATAATCATTACCTAACAAATTCTTTTGACGAATGACTTTTACTCGTAATTATAAGCTGCTGATACCTTCAAGCGGATTTGTAAAATAACAACAGTAAGAAACAGACAAATCATAACAAAAAAAACAAAAAAAAAGAAATAACATCAAACACGACACAATATTTTACGAGCTAAAGAGCTCCTCGTTCCTAATAAACATGAGTTCTAACAAGGAATGTTAAGAGGTCTTCTCATCTTTTTTTAAATAGAACCCTCTTCACGGGAGCAATCTCGGTGAGATAAAAAACGTCCCTTCGACGAAGGTGTCACCTCGAAAAGGTTGACAGATGCAAATGTTATACAAAGGAACCTCCATTCGGGGGAGCAACCATGGTACAAGAAAAAGTGTCCCATTAACAGGTGTCACTTTGAGGAAGGCAACAGGTACAATGGTTCTACAAAGGGACCTCCATTAAGAGAACATCCATGGGATAATAGAAAGTGTTCCTTGAGTAAAGGTGTCTATCCAGAAAAGGTTACAGACACAAACTTAATCGAGGAGTATCTCTGAACAAAAATCTGACTTCGTTCAATGGGGAAAAGAGGGATTTCTCTGTAGTAAGAAAAAATGAAATTGTTCTTATCCACCGCTCTTACCTTGAGTGAGCATTAAGTACATTGTAGAAGCAGATGGAAGGAAGAGAATCAGGCCATAAATTGACTATATTTGTGATTTTCTGGAAATGCCGCCTATTACCTCGGCTTGTCCGCTAAATTTGTCTTCCACAGGCTTCGGTGGGACCTTTTTCAAAACTCCCGCGGGTATGTTAATTTTCTCTAGCTCCGCCTCTTCTAACAATGCGGCACACGATCGGTGTTTAGCGCTGACGTTGATCAAGAGGTGCTAAAAGAAACGGTTTACAACAAATTTACAAAAAGGAATCAATAATAAAAAACAACAGGATTTTCGTGGAAGAACAACAAATAAAACAGTTGAGAACGAAACTAACCAATGCTGCTCATCCAGCTTATAACATACGCACGTAATGTGTAATTTTTTTCTAACAATAGCATAAAGAATCTTGAACGTTTAATGAACTAAAGCAATACTCCCTGAGGAGGAAAGCCCGCGTAACCTTTGACCAATCAAAGCTCTCTAGATCGCGCTTCACTGCCAATATTACAGATCTATAATATTTTAACAACTGCAAGTAAATGTCGCGAGAACAATAAGCATTCTGCGCGATGCGTAGAATTAGAAGGCCGAAAAAAGTTTTATTTAGGAGGAGAAGCGGAAAAAGCTACGACAACAGCTACGCTCTAAATATTGCAAGACATTCCCACAAAAAACATCGGTCAAAATTTTGGCCGATGGTTAGAAAGAGCCAAAAACAGTGTGAGAAGAAAGAAGACTTAAAACAGCATGTCTAGCTTACCATAAAATTTTTTTCGCTTTCATTATTGCGTCACCTTTTGCCGCAAACGAAAACCCAGTTATACAACAATTTAGTGTCTGGTACTTTCTATTAACAAGACAAATTCAGAGAGGGAGGGGAGGGAGAGGGCTTTGCGTAATCGGAAGTGGCATAGAAATAAAGGAACTATATATAATCGTTTTTCCTTATGCTTTTCTTGTTTGCAAACCGGCTGAGGCCAACGCTAATTTACCTCAGCAAACTAAGCAAAGGATGGCAAATTATTTCTTTTTTGCAATGACGAAAGCGCAGTATTTGATGAACTCTGGGCTAAAAACCGGAAATGACCAACACGTCAGGGAAGGGAATCTGGCGGTTCAAAGGCAGAGTGTTCGGACCGTATTCCTGCTTCTTCTTGCCTAAAAAAAAAAAAACATTAGCTTTCTTAGAAAGAAAAAAAAAAAAGAGGCAGTCACCCACCCCTCCCTTCCCAGCCTCACAAAGGCCGAAATGGACAACAACGTAGTTTCCACTTTCCAGCACTCTCACTTCTTACCTCCGGAGAGCGAGAAGAAGAGGCGCCTGTAAATAAGGTTGCATAGACCCGCTTTCACCCTTGGACACCCACATTACTCAATTAACAAGAAATCTATGTCACTCACTTAAGATGTGAATGCCATTTTAGCAACCCCAAAATATGCAAACAGGAAAAAAACAAGAGACAGAGATTGTTCGTTCAGTTTTACCTGGGCCATTGAAATCTTTCTTCACTTTCTTTTTCTACAAACGTGAAAGAGAGCAAAAGATTAGATGCGTCCGGCGTCGTAACGCGAAGGACAAAGGGCAAAAAAAACTTGTTATTTACGGAAAACTCTACTCGCCAGGATGAAAGTAATAAGAGCTGTCTACAAGAAGAGATAAGCAGTAGCCAAATGTGGGTTATATTCTTGGGAATCAGTATTTATGAAAAACCATTCTATGACATGCTTTATAATAAAGCTCGGATATAACACGTACTGTCATTGGTTGAAAGAGCGTGCTCTATGAGAGTATAGAGCATAGAACTGAGCTAAAGCTGTCACGCCATCTGCCAAATCGTATTATGTCCGACCTTTTCCGGGACTTCTTTCTACCTTTTCTTTCGTTAATTGAAAGTGAAATTTCGGAACAAGCGAGCAAAGGTTTGCAAAAATGCCAGGCGCAGTAATTTACGTTACTGTAACGTGAGCAGAGACAAAAATCCTCAAAGATAAAACAAGATAGACAGTCCGAGTTTTTTTAACGGTTTTCACGCTCAGTTAGATTGCGAGTTTACGTACGGTAATAAAAATCAAACACAGCTAACACTTGTATAATATAAAGTTTCGATTTCAAACAGAAAAAAACAGGAATGATGAAAAATATAACCTGGCATAACTGTTAAAATTCATACTAATCATGACGGTGTCAGAGCGACTTAAGGTCTATCGCGGCTAGTTAATAATGGCGATCTTCGGTCATCGCAATGGAGCAAGGCTCAGGAACTAAATCGACTACCCTTCGAGTGAAAAAATAAGAGCTTGCCCTGATTACCTTTCCGATGCGTAGAATTAGAAGGCCGCAAAAAGTTTTATTTAGACTTTACGGCGCTGTCATTCCGAGCGATCTTCATTTCTTAGTGAATTCGGCTGTTGTTCATTCATAATACACTCGCCTTGAACAGTTTGTTTTCTACTTGTCATGTGAAATAACTTGCGTATTTTTGTGAGCCACGATTGGGCCGAATTTCACTGCACATTTCACTTTCAGATCCTGTATTAGAAACTAAAAAAAAAAAAAGTGAAAACAAAGTCACGGGACGTCATTGTTTCGAGTCAATTTCCGAGAATTTAAGCCACTATTCTCGCTCACTCCTCAAAAAACGACGGACCAACCATGGATATCAAAACGTTGCTTCACAATCTTCGTGAAGAAGTTTCTTGTCCAGTGTGTACTAACATATACACAGATCCAAAGCACCTCCCATGTCTTCACAGTTTCTGTCTACAATGCTTGAAACACTGGCACAGATCAAGTCACGGTCGAGACACAATCAGATGCCCGAAATGCCAAACTGTTAGCAGAGTGCCTGATAGTGGTGATCTGAAAGATCTTCCCACCAGTTTTTACTTGAACGGCTTGATTGATGTGCTGGCCATTAAAGAATGCAAAACCAGCCATGTTGGATGTGGAAACTGTCAAAATAAGAGCTCCGAGAGTTCTTATTGTTTCCAGTGTTGCATGTTTTGGTGTGAAGAGTGCCTCATTGCACATAACATCATTCAAAGCAATAAAGATCACCGTGTTCTAGCGCTAAAAGACTTTCAAGAAAAGGATTACGAGGATGTGTTGAAACGACCCTCGTTCTGCTCTAAACAGCGGCATGAGAAAGAAGAACTTAAATACTTCTGCAAGAACTGCGAGACGGCAGCTTGCCAAAGCTGTGTTTTGATACATCATGCAGGTCACGCCATATTGCACCTAGAGGAAGAAGCGGAAAGACAAAAGATGGAACTAAAATCACTGATTGAAATACAGAAGAACGATTTACAAGTTAAGATTAATACTTTGGGTCGACTGAATGAAGACTGCGCCAAATTGATACAACAAAGCGAAGACATCAAGAAACAAGTGGAGACGTTTGTGGATAATTTAATTGCAACTATTGAAGCGAAGAAACAAAATATCATCTTAGCGGCGGACGAGGAAACGAAGAGATTTCTCGGAACTCTAACAACGCAAAAGACAGAGATCGAGAATGAAATAAAGATCATCGGAACATCGCTGGAAAAAGCTGATACAATTCTAAAACGAAGCACACACGCCGAAGTCGTTCAACTAAAGAAATCATTCGAGGAAATCTTTAAGGGAACTAATCAAAGCCAGCCAAAAGACCGTTACCCGGAAAAGCGTCCTGTTTTAGCTTTCGTGGAAAACCCAAAGATGCTCAGTACTATAAACGGCGAGGAAATTGGAATGTTGCGAAAAGCACACCAAACAAAAGCAAGTCAGTCAGTTGCTGAAGGAAAAGGACTTGAAGAAGCAATTGCTAACCATGAAACACACTTTTCTTTGACCACAAGGGACTCTAAAGGGAGACAGTGTTACAATGAAGGTGACCATGTAACGGTGGAGATCATTGACGAACAAGGACGCGACTGCGCAGAGAAATTGCAAATAATTGACAATAAAGATGGACTCTATAAAATCAGTTATTCTGCAAGAAAAGAAGGAAGATGCAAAGCGACGATAAAGGTAAACGGGGAACTTGTGCACGGAAGTCAACTTATTGTCCGTGTTAAACCATTTCAGCTTAGACCTGTTTTATCTTTTGGTGAATGGGGTTCGTCGGTTGGAAAGTTTAATTGGCCTTGGGGGGTAGCAGTGAACGCTAACGACGAGATCGCAGTAACTGATAAAAACAACCACAGAGTTCAAATTTTCAGTAGTGAAGGAAAGTTTTTAAGATCATTTGGTAAGAAGGGTGACATGGTGGGAGAATTCAACAGTCCTAAGGGAATAACATTTCATAATAATGGCAATATTTTTGTAGCAGACAGTTTAAATCATAGAATTCAGATTTTTAGCGTTGAGGGTGAATTCGTGGGACGTTTTGGTGGAGCAGGAAGCCTTGATAGTCAGCTTCACAATCCCTTGGGTCTGTCTGTAGACAGTGAGGGGAGTATCGTTGTTGCAGACGCAGGTAACAAACTGATCAAGATATTTTCTCCTGATGGAAAGTTTCTAATGAAGATAGGTGTGGAGGGCTCTTTAACTCTTCCTACCCACTGTATTCAGTATGATAGATATCTCATAGTGTCAGAACATAAAAATCATTGTATCAGAGTTTTTGACAGGAATGGAAATTTTCAGTACGAGTTTGGAAAGAGGGGAGCAGGGGATGGGGAGTTATATGGTCCAAGATGCCTCTTAGTGAACAAGTCAGAACAACTTATGGTCTGTGACTCAGGCAATCATAAAATACAAGTCTTTGAACTAAATGGAAAGTTTGTTGGTAAGTTTGGAACACAAGGTAAAAATTTAGGAGAATTCGGTATTTCAAGTGCACTAGCTGTTCTCAGTACAGGGAGATTTGTTGTTACTGATGGTACTAACCATCGTATTCAGATAATTGAGTAGTCCACATTCGCTCTGGTGAACGGTTTGGCTTATTAAGCGAAATTCAACCACTTTCAACATAAATTAATTGAGTTCTATATAAAAAAAACAAAAAAACAGAAATAAAGTTAAGGAAGAAATGAAAAGAAATTCTTTAGTGCACATATCTGTTAATTTTTGGCGGAGTGGTAGGACTGAAAAAAGGTTACTCAAATCCATTTGTTCGCCCGTGAAGCATTCCGATGTCAGCGTATTGCTACTAAGAATTTTATGTTTACAGAACTTTCCATATACGTTTGGTATTCATTATTTTAACAAATGAAAGTTTGTGGTTATTCATTATGATTTGGCTCATGTACAATTATAACAACAAAAAATTACAGTCACTTCTGAAGTTGTGCATTTTCATTTTTTAAGTGGAATAAAGATTGAAAATCTGTGAGCAAGTTACAGTGTAGTTGTAAATTGTAAAATTTTTGTAGATCATATAAGCTGTAGAAAGAACTTTAAACCCTATTTTAAGTATTTTAAGGGAAGAGAATTTTTGATAAAGAAATTCAAGTGTTGACTGAATCAAACTAATATGTTTGCCAGTCAAATAAACACAGAAAATATATTGAACTTGATAAACCAAGGGCTGTATCAGCATGTGAAGTGCAGCCAAGTGATTGGTGAATTTTGCCATGAATGGTTCAGAGAACATGCAGATGACTTTCAATTTTTCAGCCAAAAACAGAACTTTGTCTACAGACATTATCAGTAACTATCAGCTAAAAAAAAGATGTAAGTTAAGAAAGGGTTAGCCTGCCATTTCAAAATGGAAATCATTATCATTATTTTGTACTTTGAAATGTGAGCAAAATTCCTTGGATTGAACATATTTGTAAGAGTTTACATGTTAATGATCTCAGAACTCACATAATGCTCACATTCATATATAAAACTGGAATGAGGGGCTTGGCAATTGGAGGCCTGTGCATAAGACTGTTTCAAATACAGTGAATTCATTTTAATTGATCTGGTGTTGTAGTAAATAAGAAGCTCTGCACATGTAGATAAGTTGCATTGATAAAGAAAGTGAACTGACTCTGTGTAATATCATATTGTCTGAAAAAATAAAGTGTGTCACTGAACTGTTTGACCTTTTTTATTTAATGCAGTTTTCATCATTATTATTATTGCTGGTATTACTTTATTATGATTGCATGTCTATTTCAATCTCATGAGTGACCAAAACAGATTTTCTCCTTACAATACCAATGCAAAAATCAAGCAGGCAAGTGATAAGAAAAAAGAAAAAAGAAAAACATCAATTTGGAGATTATTAATGATCAAAATTCAAATTCTCCAAACTAACACCATACTAATTGTGTTGCAAACAGTAAGGAGAAAGAGTAATGAGATCTTGGGGGTGAAAGGGTTTAAGAGGCATAACAGGCAACTTTCATTCTCAGGTAAGATAATTTATTTGAAAAATGTAGTATAGCAAAACTAAAGCTACACTGCAATACCTCTCTCACTAAATTAAATACCACTCCATATTTTCAAAATATACATGCCTTTTGGCTTATCTTTATCTTCCTTCTCATTTTCCTCTTTGAGAACAACTCCAAGATCAGGTTCTAGTGGAATTCCATGATACAGTACCTTACTTTTGTTGGCTGCACTGAGAAAAGAAATGTTTTCACAATAAGTTTCATGAACAAACAGTTTCCACTTCCAAGGATAACTGGCTCATCTGCATTGTAACCTGGGCTTGAAGACTACATTGTACCCTTCTCTAGTGTAGTCCCTCAGCTCACCATTACACACCCTACATTAAGGATTCCCATGTCACAAAACTTGCAGATAAGAAAGGGAAAAGGGTTTATACGTGTATGTACACTGCTTTGTGCTGAAGAACAACAATAATTTAATGTACAATAAAAACCAGCCAGACACAAGAGTTGGACTTCCTCCATGGAAGTTTAACCACAGTCCCTGAATTTTTGCTCTCCTTCCCACTGGCAAATTCCCTAAACAAACCACATTTCATGGCACTAACAACCATTGGTACTAACAACCATGGCACTAACAACCATTGCAGACCCTGCTGCAGTTAGAAAGGAGAAAACAAAAAATATCTGAGCAACAAAAGGTTCTAGTCAAGTCTACACTTCCTTTATGATTTTAGAGCAACTTTCTCAACACAGAAAAAAAACTTCTCAGTCCCTGGTTATCCAAAGAAAACCAATCCTTAACCCTTTAATTCCAGAAGTGATTAGTAGGTAACTTAATTCTCCCCATATTATATTCATACATTTTTAAGCAAACAGGTTATGGGAATACTCAAACTTGTCAGATACAGGATGAACAGTGACTATTACTAGAGCCTACCTATAACCTGCTGACTTAATATTGTATCAAATTTAAAAGGCAAAAAAAAAAAGTTAACCTCCCCTGAGAGAGGGAAACTAAACTGGATATAAATTACTTATAATAAATCAAAAACACATCAGCGTTGTCATAAAGAAATTAACCCTTTTACTCTCAAGATTTCATTAGTAATTCTCCTTACTGTCTGCCATACAATTTGTGTGATGTTAGTTTGGAGAATTTGGAATTGGATCAACCAATAATTTCCTAATTGATATTTCTCTTTATTCTCATTACTTGTCTGCTTGATATCATATTGATAGTGTAAGGAGAAATTCTGTCTTGGTCACTAGTGGGACTTAAGGGAATAAGATGCAAGAGAATATTGTAGAGAAACAGAGAATTCTGTGTAAAAGTTAAAATGACATCCAATCTCCAAAGCCTAATGGACACCTTGAAATCTTACCATCAAAGTGAAAGTGTTGCTGAATCAAGGTAAGAAGCAATTCTTGCTGTTGATCCTGAAAAAAAAAAAATAAAACCCATAAAATACAATTAATTTTCTCCTTACAATATCATTCAATACATTTTCAAGTAGAAAGGGAAATAGAGGTGAGAGAAAATTTCAACTTGGTGATTATCTTTGATTCAGAACCAAATTCTCTGGTCTAAAATTAAAGTAATGTATGTATGGCAAACAATATGGAGAATTTATACTTCAATCTCGGGGGTGAAAGGGTTAATAGGGTTAATCAAAGATTGAGAATTGAGGATTGCAGATTGAGTTTCTTGAGGGACCAGCAACTTGGGACAAATTCTGTTTCAATACCTTAAGTTTCCCATGAGCTCATTGTTTTTCATGTGTTCATTCTGTGTTATGGCTGCCAACTCGTTAAGGTCGTCTTCACGATAATCTTCCTGAGTTCTTCGAAAACAGGCAAAAATAGATTGTGCTGCAAAACAATGTCAAGTTACATAAAGTTGCGTGGAAGATATTTTTAGAGAAGGAGGTTAAAGGAACAACCTCTCTCAATATGGTCTTAGAAAGAAAACCAGGAACTGGATCACCAACACACTGTGAAAGTCAAGTCTTATCTGACTGGTAACCCTTTTACTCCTAAGATCTGATTGTTAATTCTCCCCTCTTACTGTTACACATGTCCTTGTAAGTCCTTGATTACCATTATTAATATACAAGAGTACATGTTCCCCTTACATCAGTTTAAAGTCTTCTTGTGTACCAGTTTTGTCAAGATTCATAGTAGCCTGCAGTGCGTGCCTCTCCTGCTTCTCATTAGGTTTCTTTGGATCCATTGATAAACAGTTTTTGGAGTTTAAGACGATATTCACTTAAAACCTCAATTTAGTTTTTAAGAATAGCTGATTTTGGTCTGTGTAAGGACGTAAATATTTTTCAGCCGGGTATGGCATTGAAGTAAGGAAGGCCATCTTGAGCATTTCATACATGTGAGAAACGCAAAGAAGACAAACCAGGGTTTTTTTTCTAAAAGAGGAGGAGGTGCAAACGAAGAAGTGAGTCTAGAACTTGTTCCGTTCCTGTTCCTTGGTCCCCCCTGTTCCCCTGCGCTTCACTGTTATCACTAGCCACTCCCACTGCGCGCCTGTTGTTCCCACTTGGTCAGCGGAGCCCAATCAAAAAGTAGACATGCAGTGCGTACATAAACTTGTTAATATTTGTAGTTTATGACAAACTCCACTTGTCCTGAGCCAAAATAGTGGCGTGTCTCAGTCCCTAAGGGCCTTACGCTTGTCGCTAGTCGCTCTCTGTACTCAGTCCCTGCGAAGTAACTCCAAAAATAGACATGCACTAGGTACGTACGCGGAAAACTTGATGTTCTGATGATTTTCCTCTGTGATTTGTCCGTGTCAGATGACAGGCTCTACGCGACCTAAAGGACAATGTTGAAGACCGATAGTAGATGAGAATAACAGAAGTAACAGTGTTTGAGAAGGCTTTTCCTAAGTTCAGGGCTCAGGAATGCGTAGATGACAGGGCTTAGAGAAGAGCTGGATATCTGCGCCATTGCTCACCAAATAGAAATTAAGAATGCATTTTTAAATGATTGATTGTCAAATGCTCTATACACCTCCAGTAATTGCAATACTGAGATTGGCGCTCAGCAGAACAAAAAAAATACGACAGCAGCGACTATCGACCGACTTAATTTCATTTGGCCAAGGCAACTGCCTTGTGAATTGTTCCATTGTACAACAAGGGAACGAAAAACTTTACCACAAAGTAAAAGGTTTTCGTAAGCTAATCTTTCCAGTCTCCAGCTAGCGTGCAGTAGCTATAGTCTCTACAACTTTCAGTGCCATTGTTTTTTATTTTTGGAGCAAATTACACCAGAGAGGCTCTTAACACTGAAAAAAAAAAAAAACGGGAGAGAATTTATGAAGGTGAAACACCAAATCGAGGCAACCAAAAGTTGGTATGTCTTCAGTTTTCTGCCTGAAGCTATGAAAAGACCGTAATGCGTTTCTGTGTCGGTCCCACGCAATAGCAGTCAAACTGTTGAAAATGACCGCCGCAGAGGTATAGCTGAACAGTACCGAAGCTTTGCATGATGCGGATGACTGCAAGAAAAATGACTGCACTCAAAAGCAGCTACAAGAGATTATTTCTCATCAGATCTCCTTATTTGGTAATATTCAACTGTTTGGAAGCATCAAAAAGAAAAAATTCCATTTTTTCATAAGAATGCGGCCGTCGTTTAGAGAAAAACCAAGGGAAAATGAATGAAGTGATACATTCTTTGAAGCTTATAAACGATTTTAATTTACAAAATTTGTGTTTATACAGTATTTACAAGTACAGCATAATGCAGCTATAGTCTTGTCCCATTCACATGGACGGAGGAGAATTTTTCAGTTGTGCGCTAAGACGGGTGGGCGAAGAGGAAGGGGGGAGAATTGGGTCCTAGTCGAGGAGGTCAAAAGCACCCTTGGACTCCTACCCTCATCTACGCCCTCATGATGAGGCTGTGAAAGGTCCTGATGCTAATAACAGATTTCTTAGCGTGAAGTGTAAACAGTGCACTGGAGTCCTCTTGGTTGGGTACGAACCCACTTCAAATGTGTTGCTTTTGGTAGATGCGCGGCTGAGACAAAGAAAGAATACATACATATTAAAAAAAAAAGAATCAAACAAAATATTTCAAGGGAACTGGGATGACGAAGTGGTGAGAACAGCCGCCTCCTACCGCGCTGGCCTGGGTTCGTTCCTGAGACCTGACGTCACATGTGGACCGTGCACACCCTCGGGGCTTTTTCCGGTTTTCATCCATTCACAAAATAAACACGCTAAATTCCACTCAGGCTTTTACCCCAACTCAGATTCTTTTGACAAAATTACATATTGACTGGTTTTATTTTATCGCGTTTCATTTCTTGCATCTTGACTCACACTTACGTATAAGTCGGCGCAGAACGATCTAACAGGCGCAACAGCTCGAGCTTACAGTAATCAAGACACGAAATGTAATCATACACTGAGGGATAAAGCTGTAACACTTACTTCGGGTCTGTTCTTTCATCGTCGTCATCATCAGGATTACAGATGGAGCGAGCGTTCCACAGCTTTACACAGTTATCTACTCCACCTGGAAGCAAAAAATAAATATGTGCAACTGCTTTCCTGCTGAGAAGCAAAGATGAAAACAGCGACATGCTTTTAACTAGTAACTCAAAATTCACGCATGTATTGCGGACCTACACTCTTACACTCCCTCATTCAATCATAGCCTACGGCAATGTGGGTAATATACTTACAGCGCACTACCCATAAAAAACATGAAAATTATAACTTGGATAAGCCGAAGAAGTCATTGGAGATGACGAGAGGCTTTACTTGCTTTATTCTTTTTTTTCTTTAACTTCATTCGAAGCAGAAGCAAAACAAACCTGAGGCCAGCAAATTCCCATCTCTACTAAACATCAGAGAGTACACTGTGTCTGAGTGTCCTTTTAGCTCTGTCAATAATGTCCCCTCTGCGAGATTCCAAACTAGAATACGCTTATCAACACCTTAACAATAAATGGAACAAAGAGCAAAAAGTTAGGCAATTTGTCATCCACTTCTGCATGACGCAAACTGCCTTGTATACGTCAGAAGGGATACCTTGTGGAAAGTGCAAAGGAAACAGATAAAGAAGACATAAAATTAAAAAACTAACCGAAATCTCATAAAGAGAAAAAAACTTCTAGACGTGTCTTATGATAACCTTCGAATGAAAATATGTCACAAGAACACAGCGGTCAAACGTCTGCGCATGTGTGAACATTGTAATAACTAGGTGAGGCCGGCAAGATCAAGTTGTCTCACACGCGTTACAAACAATCACACTACAGTGTTTTAAAAGCGTGTAAGTCTTATAGTGAAGCTCGAAAAAGAAAGGTAACTCAACAGGTTAACAGAATAGTAACTCAACAGGGTACCCGTCTCATAAGGATACCCGTCTCGAGTTTTCCTTTCCCTAATTTTGTTTCATTCTACAGATTTCTATGAACGATTGAATTCAATTTTCTTTCGCTGAATTTGAAGGACAGCGGTTGTTGCTTATGTTTAGGGGGAAATTGGCGAATTAGAATCCGAGTCAGCTGAAGCAATTAAGCGTCAAATTCTTTCACAAAATGAAAGGGAAAGAAAAAACGTTTTAAGTGGGATTACAGTGGAACTTGTCTTCTTGTACATCTCTGTGTCAATTATGACTTAAGGGGCACTCTTATTAGGAGGTCACTCTTTCTAGTTTCATAGGTCTCCCCTCAAGGCAGGTTCCACGACGCAACCTCAACATGTTACCTTCATGGAAGGGGCAGATCAATTCATGGGGCTCTATTTCTAGTCTCCAAGGCGTCTCCTGTAGGAAAGTTTCACTGATTTTAGATAAAACCGCCTCGTGGATAAATCAATGGATGTATGTCTACAATAATCATTGCCTTACAAATTCTTTTGACGAATGACTTTTACTGGCAATTATAAGCTGCTTATACCTTCAAGCGGATTTGTAAAATAACAACAATAAGAAAAAGACAAATCATAACAAACGAACAAAAAAAAAACAAGAAATACCATCAAACACAACAGAATATTTTACGAGCTAAAGAGCTCCTCGTTCCTAATAAACATGAGTTCCAACAAGGAATGTTAAGAGGTATTCTCGTCTTTTTTTTAAATAGAACCCTCCTCATGGGAGCAATCTCAAAACGTCCCTTCGACGAAGGTGTCACCTCGAAAAGGTTGACAGATGCAAATGTTATACAAAGGAACCTCCATCCAGGGGAGCAATCATGGTACTAGAAAAAGTGTGCCATTAACAGAGGTGTCACTTTGAGAAAGGTAACAGATACAATGGTTCTACAAAGGGACCTCCATTAAGAGAACATCTGTGGGATAATAGAAAGTGTTCCTTGAGTAAAGGTGTCTATTTAGAAAAGGTTACAGACACAAACTTTATCGAGGAGTATCTCTGAACAAAAATCTGACTTCGTTCAATGGGGAAAAGAGGGATTTTTCTGTAATAAGAGAAAATGAAATTGTTCTTATCCACCGCTCTTACCTCGAGTGAGCATTAAGTACATTGTAGAAGCAGATGGAAGGAAGAGAATCAGGTCCTAAAGAGACTATATTTTGTGATTTTCTGGAAATGCCGCTTATTACCTCGGCTTGTCCGCTAAATTTGTCTTCTACAGGCTTCGGTGGGACCTTTTTCAAAACTCCCGCGGGTATGTTAATTTTCTCTAGCTCCACCTCCTGTAACAATGCGGCACACGATCGGTGTTTAGCGCTGACGTTGATCAAGAGGTGCTAAAAGAAACGGTTTACAACAAATTTACAAAAAGGAATCAATAATAAAAAACGACAGGATTTTCGTGGAAGAACAACAAATAAAACAGTTGAGAACGAAACTAACCAATACTGCTCATCCAGCTTATAACGTACGCACGTAATGTGTAATTTTTTTCTAACAATAGCATAAAGAATCTTGAACGTCTAATGAACTAAAGCAATACTCCCTGAGGAGGAAAGCCCTCGTAACCTTTGACCAATCAAAGCTCTCTAGATCGCGCTTCACTGCCAATATTACAGATCTATAATATTTTAACTACTGCAAGTAAATGTCGCGAGAACAATAAGCATTATACGCGATGCGTAGAATTAGAATGCCGCAAAAAGTTTCATTTAGGAGGAGAAGCGGAAAAAGCTACGACAACAGCTACGCTCTAAATATTGCAAGACATTCCCACAAAAAACATCGGTCAAAATTTTGGCCGATGGTTAGAAAGAGCCGAAAACAGTGTGAGAAGAAAGAAGACTTAAAACAGCATGTCTAGCTTACCATAAAATTTTTTTCGCTTTCATTATTGCGTCACCTTTTGCCGCAAACGAAAACCCAGTTATACAACAATTTAGTGTCTGGTACTTTCTATTAACAAGACAAATTCAGAGAGGGAGGGGAGGGAGAGGGCTTTGCGTAATCGGAAGTGGCATAGAAATAAAGGAACTATATATAATCGTTTTTCCTTATGCTTTTCTTGTTTGCAAACCGGCTGAGGCCAACGCTAATTTACCTCAGCAAACTAAGCAAAGGATGGCAAATTATTTCTTTTTTGCAATGACGAAAGCGCAGTATTTGATGAACTCTGGGCTAAAAACCGGAAATGACCAACATGTTAGGGAAGGGAATCTGGCGGTTCAAAGGCAGAGTGTTTGGACTGTATTCCTGCTTCTTCTTGCCTAAAAAAAAAAAAACACTAGCTTTCTTAGAAAGAAAAAAAAAAAGAGGCAGTCACCCACCCCTCCCTTCCTAGCCTCACAAAGGTCGAAATGGACAACAACGTAGTTTCCAGTTTCCAGCACTCTCACTTCTTACCTCCGGAGAGCGAGAAGAAGAGGCGCCTGTAAATGAGGCCCGCTTTCACCCTTGGACACCCACATTACTCAATTAACAAGAAATCTACGTCACTCACTTAAGATGTGAATGCCATTTTAGCAACCCCAAAATATGCAAACAGGAAAAAAACAAAAGACAGAGATTGTTCGTACAGTTTTACCTGGGCCATTGAAATCTTTCTTCACTTTCTTTTTCTACAAACGTGAAAGAGAGCAAAAGATTAGATGCGTCCGGCGTCGTAACGCGAAGGACAAAGGGCAAAAAAAACTTGAATTGTGATTTACGGAAAACTCTTCTCGCCAGTATGAAAGTAATAAGAGCTGTCTACAAGAAGAGATAAGCAGTAGCCAAATGTGGGTTATATTCTTGGGAATCAGTATTTATGAAAAACCATTCTGACATACTTTATAATAAAGCTCGGATATAACACGTGCTCTCATTGGTTGAAAGAGCGTGCTCTATGAGAGTATAGAGCATAGAACTGAGCTAAAGCTGTCACGCCATCTGCTAAATCGTACTATGTCCGACCTTTTCCAGGACTTCTTTCTAGCTTTTCTTTCGTTAATTGAAAGTGAAATTTCGGAACAAGCGAGCAAAGGTTTGCAAAAATGCCAGGCGCAGTAATTTACGTTACTGTAACGTGAGCAGAGACAAAAATCCTCAAAGATAAAACAAGATAGACAGTCCGAGTTTTTTTAACGGTTTTCACGCTCAGTTAGATTGCGAGTTTACATACGGTAATAAAAATCAAACACAGCTAACACTTGTATGATATAAAGTTTCGATTTCAAACAGAAAAAAACAGGAATGATGAAAAATATAACCTGGCATAACTGTTAAAATTCATACTAATCATGACGGTGTCAGAGCGACTTAAGGTCTATCGCGGCTAGCTAATCATGGCGATCTTCGGTCATCGCAATGGAGCAAGCCTCAGGAACTAAATCGACTACCCTTCGAGTGAAAAAATAAGAGCTTGCCTTGATTACCTTTCCGATGCGTTGAGTGGAAGGCCACATCAGTCACTGCAACCGAGTTTTACGGCGCTGTCATTCCGAGCGATCTTCATTTCTTAGTGAATTCGGCTGTTGTTCATTCATAATACACTCGCCTTGAACAGTTTGTTTTCTACTTGTCATGTGAAATAACTTGCGTATTTTTGTGAGCCACGATTGGGCCGAATTTCACTGAACATTTCACTTTCAGATCCTGTATTAGAAACTAAAAAACTTCAGTCAAAAGTGTTAAATTCGACATGCCGAGCTATTTTAGTTTGTAAACTATAACAGAATATGAACTTTGATGGTTTTTGAACTTTGATGGTTTGACATTTTTGACAGCTTTAGTCTTGTACAGCCAATCAGATTATTTGAACCATTCTAACAGGGATTCTGATTGGCTTATTGTAGCGTGCTTTATGAGAGTATAGAGCATGCTGACGACACTGTTGTTCGCTTTGGAAATAAAATTTGTTTTGAAAATTGAAAGTAATTCTTGGGGAATTTAACGGATTATTTATTATAAAACAAATAGATAAGTGGGGAGAAGTGAGGAGAAGTGGGGAGAAGTGGGAAGAAACACTCGACTACGTCTCGTGTTTCCCCCTACACTTCTTTCGTGCTCTAGCCGCTTCCTGCGTGCTTTACAACAGAACAGAGCACAGCCAAGGCTTCTCTATTTGTTAATTAGAGACAAGGATCCCTGATTGGCTGATGCAGTGGAAAAGCAACTATAACAAATTCCGAAAAAGGCTTTAAAAAGTGAAAACAAAGTCACGGGACGTCATTGTTTCGGGTCAATTTCCGAGAATTTAAGCCACTATTCTCGCTCACTCCTCAAAAAACGACGGACCAACCATGGACATCAAAACGTTGCTTCACAATCTTCGTGAAGAAGTTTCTTGTCCAGTGTGTACTAACATATACACAGATCCAAAGCACCTCCCATGTCTTCACAGTTTCTGTCTGCAATGCTTGAAACACTGGCACAGATCAAGTCACGGTCGAGACACAATCAGATGCCCGAAATGCCAAGCTGTTAGCAGAGTGCCTGATAGTGGTGATCTGAAAGATCTTCCCACCAGTTTTTACTTGAACGGCTTGATTGATGTGCTGGCCATTAAAGAATGCAAAACCAGCCAAGTTGGATGTGGAAATTGTCAAAAGAAGAGTTCCCACAGTTCTTACTGTTTCCAGTGTTGCATGTTTTGGTGTGAAGAGTGCCTTATTGCACATAACATCATTCAAGGCAATAAAGATCACCGTGTTCTAGCGCTCAAAGACTTTCAAGAAAAGGATTACGAGGATGTGTTGAAACGACCCTTGTTCTGTTCTAAAGAGCGGCATGAGAAGGAAGAACTTAAATACTTCTGCAAGAACTGCGAGACGGCAGCTTGCCAAAGCTGTGTTTTGATACATCATACAGGTCACGCCATATTGCACCTGGAGGAAGAGGCGGAAAGACAAAAGATGGAACTAAAATCACTGATTGAAATACAGAAGCACGATTTACAAGCAAAGATTAACACTTTGGGTCGACTGAATGAAGACTGCACCAAATTCATACAACGAAGCGAAGACATCAAGGGACAAGTGCAGAAGTTTGTGGACAATTTAATTGCAACTATTGAAGCGAAGAAACAAAATATCCTCGCAGCGGCGAACGATGAAACGAAAAGATTCCTCGAAACTCTAACAACGCAAAAGACGGAGATCGATAATGAAATAAAGATCATCGAGTCATCGCTAGAAAAAGCTGATACAATTCTAAAACGAAGCACACACGCCGAAGTCGTTCAACTAAAGAAATCATTCGAGGAAATCTTTCAGGGAACTCAAAGCCAGCCAAAAGACTGTTACCCGGAAAAGCTTCCTTTTTTAGCTTTCGTGGAAAACCCAAAGATGCTAAGCACCATAAACGCCGAAGAAATTGGAATGATTGAAATAGCACACCAAACAAAAGCACGTCAGTCAGTTGCTGAAGGAAAAGGACTTGAAGAAGCAATTGCTAACCGTCAAGCACACTTTTCTTTGACCACAAGGGACTCTAAAGGAAGACAGTGTTACAACGAAGGTGACCATGTAACGGCGGAGATCATTGACGAACAAGGACGCGACTGTGCAACGGAATTGAAAATAAATGACAATAAGGATGGACTCTATCAAATCAGTTATTCTCCCAGAAATGAAGGAAGATGTAAAGTGACAATAAAGGTAAACGGGGAACATGTGCACGGCAGTCAATTTATTGTTCGCGTTAAACCATTTCAGTTTAGACCTGTTTTATCATTTAGAGAAGAGGGTTCGTCGGTTGGAAAGTTTAATTGGCCTAGGGGGGTTGCAGTGAACGCTAACGACGAGATCGCTGTAACTGATCAACTCAACCACAAAGTTCAAATTTTCAGTAGTGAAGGAAAGTTTTTAAGATCATTTGGTAAAAAGGGTGACATGGTCGGAGAATTCAACAATCCTCGGGGAATAACATTTCATAATAATGGCAATATTTTTGTAGCAGACAGCGTAAATCATAGAATTCAGATTTTTGGCGGTGAGGGTGAGTTCGTGGGAAGTTTTGGTGGTAAAGGAAACGTTGACAGTCAGCTTGATATTCCCTTGGGTCTGTCTGTAGACAGTGAGGGGAATATCATCGTTGCAGACGCAGGTAACCAACTGATTCAGATATTTTCTCCTGAAGGCAAGTTTCTAACAAAGATAGGTGAGGGCTCTTTTACTCTTCCTGTCCACTGTATTCAGTATGATAGATATCTCATAGTGTCAGATTATAATGATCATTGTATCAAAGTTTTTGACAGGAATGGAAAGTTTCAGTACAAGTTTGGAAAGCAGGGAGGAAAGGATGGGGAGTTTAATTATCCAAGATCTTTGTTAATGAACAAGTCAGGACAACTTATGGTCTGTGACTCAGGTAATTGTAGAATACAAGTCTTTGAACTAAATGGAAAGTTTGTTGGTAAGTTTGGAACACGAGATAAAAATTCAGGGGAATTCATTTCTCCAATTGCACTAGCTGTTCTCAGTACAGGGGGATTTGTTGTTATTTATTCTAGTAACCATTGTATTCAGATAATTGAGTAGTCCACGTTCGTTCCGGTGAACTGTTTGGCTTATTTCGAGAGGAGTGAAATTCAAGCGGTTTCTTTAAAATTAATTGAGTTTTGTTTTAAATTAACAAAAAAAATAAAATTAAATAAAATTAAAAATAAAACGATTAGAAGAAACATATCCGTTAATTTTTGGCGGAGTGGTAGGACTGAAAAAAGGTTAATCAAATCCAATAATTGTACGCATGGCTAGAAATCGAGGTCAGTCAGCGGCTGATGTCGCGGACGCAACACGACCTGCGTTTCACCTTACTGCGTCTGCGCATCCCACTAAAATCAAACATCAAAAGATGTCGGAAATTACCTTTTACAAAAGCGCTCGATAGATAAATCCCCAACTTCCATTTTAAAAATGAATCAAATGAAGGTGTATCAGACATTTTGCAGCACTGATAACTTCTTTATTATTTTCTTTCCGAGATATTGCTTGAGAAGCTGTTAAAATCTTGTCCAAGTAAGAAGCTTACTATTTTGTTTTTCAAGTCAAATTATTTTCGCGCCAATGCTGCAATCTATGTCAATCTTTGAGCCTTCAGTAGCTGCCCTGTAGCGGTATCGTCCATAACAGGCTAGGTTACTATGTTTTTACAAAATGGCGATCGAAGAGTTCTTTGATATGTTTTCAGATCTTATAATTTTAGTTTTTGAGTCAACGTCTCTACTGGGAACAAGACCCATAAGAAAAAAAAAATTTTTTGGACTTTTTGAAGTCTTTTTGCAGCGTGGATTCACACTTATATGACTTCAAATAGCCTTCAATTAGAAGGTCGGCTTTCGAAGAGATCGAACAGACGTGGGCAATTGATAAAACAACCCTTGTTGTGGCTGCAGGAGAAGCTTTAGCTGACCAACATAAGCCATTTTAAGACACTTAAGGCACCAAAAAGGTTTAAAGTTTCTTCGACTGGGGCAGATCGTAGCGAAATCGTAAGAGTTTGAGAACGGAGGTGAGTGATCTGGACACTCTTCTAATACATTTCAGACGAGGGCATTTTTAGTACACGCTTCCAGAAAATTACTGTGTCTGATTTTCAAAATTTTCCCACAAAAGCCTTATGCAGCCGCCATCTTTAAACTCCGTAATTTGTCTTTTATGCGCATGCTTAACCGCCATGATGTCTTCGATTTCTAGCCATGGCCTGTGAAGCATTTTGATGCAAGTGTATTGCTACTGAGAATGTTATGTTCACAGAACTTTTTAAATACGTATGGTATTCATTATTTAAACAAACGAAAGGTTGTGGTCATTCATTATGATTTGCCTCGTACAATTATAACAAAAAATTACAGCCACTTCTGATGTTGAACAAGATTTTTTCACTTTATGTGGAATAAAGATTTGAAGATCTCTGGGCAAGTTGTTTGTAAATTTTTTTGTAGATAAAGTGAAAAAAATATATAGGTTGTAGAAAGGTTCTTTCCAAGAACTTTAAACCCTTTTTTAATGGTGTATTTTGTAAGTGTCGTGAGATCTTAGAAATAACAATGCTTCTAAGATTTCTTAATATAGTAAGTATTTTAGGAAAAGAGAATTTTTGGATGAGAGATTCAATTGTTGACTGAATCAAACTAATATGTTTCAGTCAAATACAGAAAATACATTGAACTTGATAGACCAAGGGCTGTATCAGTATGTGAAGAGCAGCAAAGTTATTGGTGAATTTTGCTATGAATAGTTCAGAGAGCATGCATGTGGATGGCTTTCAATTTTTCAGTCAAAAATAGAACCTTGTCTACAATCATTATTGCTAACTATCAGCTGAAAAGAAGATGTAACTTAAGAAAGGATTAGCCTGCCATTTCAAAATGGAAATCATTATCATCATTTTTGTACTTTGAAATATGAGCAAAATTCTTAGGATTGAACATATCTGTAAGAGTTTACATGTTGATGATCTCAGAACTCACATGATGCTTACATTCATATATAAAACTGAAATGAGGGGCTTGGCAACTGGAGGCCTGTGCATAAGCCTGTTTTGTATACAGTGGATTCATTTGAATTTATCTGGTGTTGTAGTAAATAAGAAGCTTTGCACAGTAGATAAGTTGCATTTATAACAAAGTGAACTGACTCTGTATAATATCATATCATCTGAAAAAATAAAGTGTGTCATTCAACTGTTTGACCTTTTGTATTTAATGAAGTTCTCATCATCATTATTATTACCGGTATTACTTTATTATGATTGCATGTCTATTTAAATCTCATGAGTGACCAAGACAGATTTTCTCCTCACAATACCAATACAATATCAAGCAGACAAGTGATGAGAAAAAAGAAAAACACTGATTTGGGGATTATTAATTGATCCAAAACCAAATTCTCCGATCTAACACCACACAAATTGTACTGCAAACAGTAAGGAGAATGAGTAATGAGATCTTGGGAGTGAAAGGGTTTAAGAGGCATAACATAGGCAACTTTCTTTCCCAGGTAAGATAATTTATTTGAAAAACATAGTATAGCAAAACTAAAGCTACACTGCAAACCTCCCTCACTAAATTAAATACCACTCCATCTTTTCAAAATGTACTTACTTTTGGCTTATCTTTATCTTCCTCCTCATTTTCCTCTTTGAGAACAACTCCAAGATCTGGTTCTGGTGGAATTTCATGATATACCTTTCTTTTGTTAGCTTCACTGAGAAAAGAAATGTTTTCACAATAAGTTTCATGAACAAACAGTTTCCACTTCTGAGGATAACTGGCTCATCTGCATTGAAAGCTGGGCTTGAAAACTACATTGTACATTGTACCCTTTTCTAGTGTAGTCCCTCAGCTCACCATTACACACCCTACATTTATTAAGGATTCCCATGTCCATGCAGGCTCTATGCAAAGCCAGGACAGGAAGTTCAGGAGGTTAAAAATTTCATCCACAAAACTTGCAGATAAGAAAGGGAAAAGGGTTTATATGTGTATGTACACTGCTTTGTGCTGAAGAACAGCACTAATTTAATGTACAATAAAAACCAGCTAGACACAAGAGTTGGACTTCCTCCATGGAAGTTTGATCACAGTCCCCGAATTTTTGCTCTCCTTACCACTGGCAAATTCCCCAAACAAACCACATTTCATGGCACTGACAACCATTACAGACCCTGCTGCAGTTAGACAGGACAAAACAAAAAATATCTGAACAACAAAAGGTTCCAATCAAGTCTGCACTTCCTTTTAGACTTAAGAGCAACTTTCTCAACACAGAAAAAACTTCTTAGTCCCTGGTTATCCAAAGAAAACCAATCCTTATAACCCTTTAACTCCAGAAGTGATTAGTGCGTAACTTAATTCTTCCTATAATATCCATATAATATCCAGCAAACAGGTAATGAGAATACTCAAACTTATCAGATACAGGATGGTGTAGAAGCAATTAGATCTTGGGAGTTAAAGGGTTAAGTGTATAATGGATTTTCCACAATCTCCAGCCTTACTAAGATAGTGATATTCTTTCAAGGGAGTTCCACATTGCTCATAAACTTTTATTTTCTTCAGCATTGGTGTCCCTTACCCTCAAATGTTGCCTCTCCAGTAACTGCTCCTGCTGTCACTTCAACTGTCTGCTTATTCTGTGGTCTTCCTTCAAAAACTAAAGAGAACACAAAAAAAGATCAAATGTTAAGTTAGACCTTCGGCTACCAAGATATGATTTGTAATTCTCCATTAAAACTGCTATACTTTTTCTGGTTAATAAGTTAGGAGAATTTTAATTTATGATTTTGAGATAAAACCTCTAAGCTGAAAATTTTGTATCCTTCTTATAGCAAAGCTTGATTTCCACCATTTTCTTGAGTCCAGTGATCTATCCTCCTGGGCAGAAACTTTGGGGGGAGGGGAGGGGGGGTGAACTCAAGCTCATTTCATGAACAGTGACTAGTAATAGAGCCTACCTATAACCTGCTGACTCAATATTGTATCAAATTTAAAAGGCCAAATAAAAAGTTAACCTCGTCTGAGAGAGGGTAACTGAACTAGGTATAAATTATTGAAAAATTATAAATCAAAAACATATCACCGTTGTCATAAAGAAATTAATCCTTTAACTCCAAAGATTTCATTAGTCATTCTCCTTACTGTCTGCCATACAATTTGTGTGATGTTGGTTTGGAGAATTTGGAATTGGATCAACCGATGATCCCCTAGCTGATATTTCTCTTTATACTCATTACTTGTCTGCTTGATATCATATTGATAGTGTAAGGAGAAATTCTGCCTAGATCACTTAAGTGGGACTTAAGGGTTAAGATGCAAGAGAATGTTGTAGAGAAACAGAGAATTCTGTGTAAAAGTTAAAATGGCATCCAATCTCCAAAGCCTAATGGACACCTTGAAATCTTACCATCAAAGCAAAGGTGTTGTTGAATCAAGGCAATTCTTGCTGTTAATCCTGAAAAAAAGAAAATAAGTAAAATCCATAAAATGCAATTGATTTTCTCCTTACAATATCATTAAATACATTTTCAAGTAGAAAGGGAAACAGAGGAGAGAAAAATATCAACTTGGTGATTTTCTTTGATTTAGCACTAAATTCTCTGATCTAAAATTAAAAGTAATGTATGGCAAACAATGTGGAGAATTGATACTTCAATCTTGGGGTGAAAGGGTTAATAGGGTTAATCAAAGATTGAGAATTGAGGATTGTGGATTGAGTTTTTTGAGGGACCAGCAATTAGGACAAATTCTGTTTCAATACCTTAAGGTTCCCATGAGCTCATTGCTTTTCATGCGTTCATGCCATGTTATGGCTTCATACATGTATGTGCCGCGGGATAGGGTATGGTTTTGGCGGTTATCGTTTTGCCTCTGTTAGCATTGTGTTTCCGTTGTGATCTTTAGATAGGATATGTAAATTGTATCGGCTAAAATTGCAGTGTGTAAATGGCCAGCTAAACAAAAAGCAAATTCCGCTAAAATTGTCAACAAAGCGATTTTATCGAGATTTGTGTTTTGCCGCGCGTGGTTAGCCGTTGT